GTTTAAATGATTAAGGTTTATTTGTTTCATTTCCCATCAGTAGTCTAGAAGTTATATATATATATATTCTATTTCTGCTTTTAGTGATTATTACCCTGAAATTTTAAATTTATGTGCTGACTTATGTCTGTAATTGTCATGACCACTACAAGAACATGAGAATGTTTTAACTTCAATTATCCATTTTATTTTATATATTGTTATTTATTTTAGTCCAACCTTGTTATATTTCTTCAAATTAATCATTATGATTTATTATTTTTCTTTTATAAGTTCGGTACTTGTGTAGATTTTCTCACATTTACCTGTTTTATTCACTCACTATTCTTGCATCTTACTCTTATGAGTTCAGTTTATTTCTGAAGTGCATCCTTTTTAGCAAGGATCAGTGAATAGTAAACTGTCTTTGTGTTAATATGGCTTTATTTTGCTCTGCATATTCAGAGATTATTTAGCTGGGTACAGCTAGATCTAGGAATGAACTAGTTTTTTTATATCTTTTTATTGTAAAATAAACATACGAAAACAAAGCAAAGGTGTGGCTAAGTAAATTATTATAAAGCAGACGCTCTTATAACCACCGCTTAAGAACTAGCAATTCTCCACCTATGAATATATTTTCATTTAATTTGCTTGGGACTCCTGAAACATTCAAGATAACTTTTTAAAATATATTTTTTATTTTATGAATTCCCTCTTTAGTTGTGTCTACTCTGTTTAATCTGCCTATTTTTTAATTACTATATTTTTTTCATTTATATAGTTCTATTTGATTCTTTTTCATGTCTTTCTAATCTTTCCTATGCTGCTATATTGTTTTATCAATATTTTCCGTCCTTTATATCTTCCACCTTTTAAAACATAGTCTTTTACTGATTATTCCTCTACTGTCTCAAGTAATCCTTTTTGTTGCATTTATGGAGTCTAGTTTACTTATTTAGTGATTTTGTGTCTTTGGGGCTTTATCTGTGTGATTCCTGGGCCGGCTAAGTTGTGGGTATTTCTCTGCTTCTGTTACCATATTGGACCAGATTGTCTCACTTTCCCATACCATGGGTAGGGGAAATAAATTCAGGCCCCAAATCTACAAAAGGCACAAGCTGAGGGCTTTGATTTCACAAGGGGAACATTTGTTTGTTTATTAAGCTAGAGTCCAGACAGTAACAAACCTGTGCCAGTGAGTGAATTTTATTTTTCTAGACTTTGCATTGAGTGAGGGTTCAGCTTTCTTAGGTGCCAAGTTTTTCTCACACCAGAGAGGTAATTCCAGCCAATCCCATGTGAGCTGAGGGCCTCATCTTTCTTCCTTATAAGAGAATCAAAACTGAAGCTTCTGGATTGTTGAGACCTGTAACAATTTACCTTCTTGCCCTTTGTGCAGCCATAGCATACGTAATGCACCCGCCTCACTGGTTGTTGGCATCCTCTTCGTGCCTGGCGTCTAGGAACCTCCCTTACTTGCGAGCAATCTTAGAAGATCAGCAATGAATTCCTTCTTTTTTAAAATTGAACGTTTCTAGATATTTGTTGTGGGAGATTTGTCAAAAGTAGGATGGGAAAAAATACAGGATGTGGGAAAAAACTTTTCGTTGGTAATTTTACATTTAACTCAAATTTAGCATAAGCAGAGAAGAATAGGATAAAACATCAGCAAATAAAAACTGAGTTAGTTAATCTGGTGTTTATGGAGAAATACCTGAGAGTTTGGCAGTTGAGTTCCTACTTGGATTCTTCCGTAAAAGGAGACCAGTTTTTTTTATCCAATGACTCTTCTCTTTAAGAAAATAAAGCTTCTTTAATCAGGTGATCAGGTAAGCAGGAGAATGTACCGTGTTATCTGTCAGGGCGGTGCACACACATCATTGCTTTTACTATTTTCACATTCAAGGAAATTCTCATGCAGTCTTTTAATTCTGTGGTAGCTTTAATAAGTATCAATGTTTATAAAATAGTATGGACTTAAATATTAACGCTTTTCCCATCCCGTTCGCCTTGAGAATACTAGGTAGTGGTGCTTGCAGCTGCAGCGTTTATCCCAAGAAAACTCGCAGATTACAGTCCTAACCTCACCCCTGAAGTTCGCCACAAAATATCTCGCTTTTATTATTATTTTTGCATCGCTCTAGTATATCGACAGTCTTCGGAATCAAATGACATCATTCTATTTATAGTATTCTGTTTTTAGTATAGTAGTGGTAGTTCCATTTACAAAATATAGTAATTCTCGATCACAGAGAACGTCAAATCCTAGAAAATGTAGCATTCCTACACCTGATGTTAAACGAATCCTGGCAGCAAGCTGCACTCTTATTTTCTAAATGGGAAAAAAGTTAAATAGGTTCATTGTCTCTCTGAGAAAAATATTACTATAAAGATATTATGAACTAATTATAATAAACAGTAGTTACAATAGACTTTAGCTATGTTTTCCTAGCCTTTTTATACCATAGTTCATAAAATTTGACCTTGCAGTCTTTCCTGCTGCCCACCAGACACCTTCCCCTGTCGTACCTCGTCATTTTGTTGTCTTGGTAGAGTTATTTGAAAGGCACCAAAAGTTAGAACCAGAGGGAGTAACACTTCCATTGGGACAGAGGAAGAGGAAGCAGTTAAGAATTGCGAAGGGCTAAAATGGCAATGTTTTAAAAAACCAAAGGTACTTGAGAAACGCTTTTCTTTGTTTGCTGTTACTCCTCAGTGACTGAAACTACTTACTCTTCTCCCCCCAAAACCCCCCGTCCCCACCCCACCCCAAAAAAACCAGCAAAGCTAAAGCGAGTTAAGAGAGAGCTCGAAGGTAGAGGAAATGTCTTCGAGCGCTTGGTGCGGTTCTCAGCTTCCTCTGTCCCACGGTGAAGGACTGAGCTGCATAGTTGTCTCTGTCAGTAAGAAGTGGGAAGTGGTCGTGACCGTCAGACCTCTCTGGCACTAATCAATAATATCTGTGTATTCCATACCCTTTTTACACTGAACTTATGAGTAGTGTTTTGAAAAAGAAAGTGTAGATGTCCATGACCTTAAATATGTCAAGTTTAATCGTTGTCTCATACTTAGAAATAAGCGTATTTTCAAAATGGTTTGTGACATGGAGTTGCCTAGAGATGAAAACGAAAATGTATGCTTGCTTAAAAAGACTAGTTTTCTAAATAAAAATTTAGAAAGCAAGTCAAAACCCATTATCTTTTTCTCATAAATCAGTGTGGAAAAAAATTTTTTTCAGTGTACCTGAACTTGATTTAGCATATAATGTTTTAAAGGTATCTTTTAAGACGAGATCAAATGATAAATACTATGACTTAGTAGTTTTTATGTGTTTCTTTATATCGGCTATGCAGTGATTTTTGCTAGTTTATTGCATTATAAATAGCATATTAACTAAAAGCACTATTTAGTTTTATGACGTTTGGGTTTCTTAAAAAAGTATTTTGTATTATTTCTTTAATAATTCAGTGAATAGATGAATGCTTCCTAACATACACATTGTTTCCTAAGTATATCTAACAAAATGTTAAAAATTATTCATTACTTCTTATACACAAATTTATATGGAATAAATTTTATTTAGCTTCAATTTTTCCAGTAGTTTGATATAAAATTAGCATTTGGTACTGAAATGATTAGAGAGAACACGATGTTTGATATATGATTTATATTAGCTATTCAGTAACATTCTGGTAGCTAACAAAAAATTTTTCTGCAGATCTACATGTAATTAAATTATTTCTTTTAGTTTCTAGGGGTACAGTAATCTTTCAGTATGTGTAGCACACAAAAAATAAATGAATCATAGACCATAGTTTATTTTTGTTTATATATGTGTATTACAATTAAGTAGTTTTAATACATTTATTACCACAATTTTAAATAAATTTGTTACATCTGTTGTCTCTGGGCTTAACTTTCAGCCAACAGATTAGGAGACTTCTGCCACTTCTGTAACATGCTAGAGTCTTTATGTTTAAAATATAAATAAAAGGAATAAGAAGATTCCTTTTATTTTATTTTTATTTTATCTTATTGATAAATAAGAGGAATGCTTATTTTTCCTGAAACTTTGCTAGTGGATGAAGAATAAAGTGTAAATTGAAAAGCTTCCTCTAAAATAATTTCATAAAATATTTTAATGGCACCAAAGTTTTTTTGAAAATTTTCAAATCTAGTCATACGAATGTATATTATCAAAGAAGAATTCTTTATCCCTATTTAATATATCACAATTTAGATATTCACTCTGCTTTGTTACATTGATATGAGTCATATGACATGGTCATTTAAAAATTACTTTAGTTTTTTAAATTAATTTTCAGGCTGATATATTAAATTAGCCCTTTTTAAAATTCTACAAAAGAAAAATAACTATCTTCAAGAGACAGTCTTTTTTTTTTTTTTTTTTTTAAGATAGTTTTGCTCATCATCACTAAACATGCCATTAACAGTGCCAAACCTAGACAAGAGAGTAAGGTAGGAAAAAATATTTTTTATGTTCGTGTTCCCTATTTCCTTTTTAGCTTTTAGTCTTCCTTCCTCCTCCAAATTTCTTAGTGTTTTCCCAATCTTTCCTATCTGGAAATAAAGTCGTCCATACTAAAGTGTTAGATAGTCCATGTTACCCAGCTAGGATTATTTGCATTTTTACAAAAAAGAATGGTTAAAGAAACCAATAATTGAAATACACATACATACATACATACATACATACATACATACATACATACATACAGGAAGAGTGAACGTGTGAATTCGTGAGTGGATGGATGGATGCATGGATGAATGAATGAAGGTGGGGATTCAGGCATGGGAAGTGTTTCTGACAGGACATTTACCCAGGACTTATATAAGTGATGGTCTGTCCTGATGAGAAGAGGATCTGTCAGGTAGGTTCCACCACGACTCTGCTTTGCTGTATGAAATCACCTCAACCACTGACATGCAGTACGAACTTTCTTTTTTTGTCACCTGTCATTCCAGCTTGGAATCAAATCTTTTTTTGTTTGTTTAAGGCTGAAAGAGCATATTCCTTTTGCGGAACTATTGAATACATGGCACCAGATATTGTCAGAGGGGGAGATTCGGGACATGACAAGGTATGTTCTGTTTTTGACTCTTCGTACATCTCTGTAAAATGTATAATAAGAATCCTAGTTAATAACTTGGTGCAGTCTCTTCCACAGAGTCCTCTTTCTGGTGTATTACCTTCATTTTTTTCTCTCCTTTGCTTTGTGTTATAGTGTCTAGTGTTTCGGAGGAAAAAGATAATAGAAAGATTAGGACAGTCTAGATTTCCCCTTTTTTCAGGTTTTATTGATGAGGATAATTTTTTTGTTTGAGTAATATTTTGTTAAAAGAAACCTCAAAATTGACTAATTCTTCAAATAACAATTTTTGTTATTTCTGTTAAAAGAGTCTATATCTTGAGCAAAGCACCAGTTGTAACTCTGTTTAAAACAAAAATCATTCTCTTTCTGTTGCGTAGGACCTGCTCTTTTAGGACCTGACTGAGCCACAGTACAATACAGAGGTGTCACTGAATACATAAACTGTACATCGTTCCCATCTGAGTCATGCTGAATGATTTTGGACAGTGCTTATTGGCATTATTGGTTTTTGTTAGGAAAAAAACACAGAAACATATAGTTGACTGTTTCAACTTTACTTGAAATTTGCTTTCTAAGAGATCATAGAAAAGGAATCTTTTATATTTTCTTATTCCCAATTTCTGCTTTTAACTTTGTAGAGATACTGGAGACTTTGCTGATTATTTCTTTAACAGAAATAACCATCGTAACAATCTTTGGAGAAAGAAAAAAATCCGTTTTTAAAGCATTTAAAGTTAGTCTTAAGTTTGTTTCCCTAAGCCCTCTAAAGAGCTCAATTTTTTTCCTCCTCATTTTCCCTTGTATGTGTAAAACGAAGACTATAGAAATGGCTTTCTAAGTAGTTATGTTATAAAATCTAGGTCACATATTTTTTCTTCCTTTATTAAAGGATACATATTTGTTCAGTTCTTTGTTAACACTTTTGCTTTATTAATAACTTTCTCCAAATAAGGAATGCTGACTCTTTTTTGCTCCTCATCTTCCTCCCTCATCCCCTTTGAAAAGTCTACATATACAGTCCAAATATCTTAAGTGTGGAGAATGTTTGCTAATGACTAGTCATAAGTTTAAAGCCCGTTCTTCAAGTTTTCATGACTAGGAATCTGTTTGTAGAGCTGTTAGCAATTTAAGAGCATGGTTTCAAATCCAAAAGCAAAACATTTGAAGGGTCTTGACTCAGATGGCAGTAAAACTGCTTGCATAAATAATTGGTTTAGTCAGCTTCAGGGTATTCTTTGAAACTGTTGGGTAATTGGTAGGAATTTATAACCTAAAATTTGAATTATCTTCTAAGACCTAATGAAACCGATTTTTAGGAAAGAAAGCCTTATATTACTCCTAGAATTTCTGTATTTCTGAGGTCTAGAATACAGCTAGTCAGTAGGAGTTCACAGGCCACTTTGACGACTTTGAGTTAATTAAAGGAGATAATGTATGCCAAGTGCTGGTCACTGTGCCTGGCTCCCACTCTTTGGTGTGTGTTGATTTCAATCTGCCTGATCCTGTTTTGTATGTCATTATTATGTGTTTTCTTTAAAAGAGCTCTTGGCTCATAAATTTTGCATCATTTCTCTAAAACCTTGGCCCCGAAATGGGGAAGCAGAGAGTTTAAAATTTTAGCATCCAGTTAATATCTCGTTAGTGCAAGCTTGTATATTCAGCTGTTATTGGAATTTTGACTTACCTAGTTATAAAAGAACTTACTTTCAGTATATCAAGATTCTTTAAATTATATGTAATTTGCTATGTCCTCAGTTCAGGTAACTGATTTATAAATTAGTTTCCAATTTAGATCACATTTTATTTTATATTATTTTAAATCTCATCAAGCTTCCCACAAATGAAGACTCTTGGATTGATAGGTACTATAAGAGGAATTGGTTTAGATGGTTATGAAAAAATAACATCTTTAGAGGAGATCTTTTTTCATTTTTGTTCTTTGACTTTAAGGAATTTTGTAATATTCATTGGACCTAACTAATTAATAAAAATGTTAATTGATACTTTTTTCCTCTATCATAAGTCCGAAGATATCACTTACTTAAAATTTTGAAAATATATTTTAAATTAAAAAAAAATTTTTAATTAACCAAAGTAAAGCCATTACTAATTTAGGAAATAATTAAAAAATTTTTAGCCCATTGGCTAAATGTTTAAAATTGAGACTTAAATTATGTTCTGAGGATACCCTGGATATTTGTTCTCTAAATGTCTTTTTTTGCATGTACTAATTTAATACTCCTTGCACAGAAAACTATGTACAAAATCCTTTTGTTAAAATATTTTCTAAATACATAGGTTTAAATAGTGCATTTTTCTTACGAAATGCATATTAGTTAATAGTCTATCAAATGAAATTGTTGTTTTGTAGGCAGTTGACTGGTGGAGTTTAGGTGTTCTAATGTACGAATTGCTAACTGGAGCATCTCCTTTCACTGTCGATGGAGAAAAGAATTCCCAAGCTGAGATATCTAGGTAAGACTGGATGAAATAAAATGAATGTATTGTTACTTCAAGGGAACTGATCAAATTTCTGCCATCAGGCTGACGGAAAAAAAAAATTTTAATGGGGATAGACAAAATTATGTTCAAGTGGTTAATTTCCCGTTATGTTCAGGTAAGATGTAGGTATATAAACTTTATATTTCTTTATCATTTATGTGCCCAATTATATCTTGTTTCATAGGGTTAGTGTCATAATTTTTATGTGTTCTAAAGCACTTAGTCTGTTGTCTTAACCTAGTAAGTACATTGTATATTGAAAAGTTTATTCAGTGGACACTTACTTCCCACAGTTCCTTTGTGACTTTAACATAAACAGTAGTGATGTTTTTCATCTCATGGATATAGGCTCAATAGAAACAATACCATAAAATCACTCTCTTATAGGTTATCATAGCATTATTCTCTTCCTTGCCTTTATAGCAGCTATCACAATTGCAGTGCTACATTTTTGTTTATAATTATTTGATTGACGTCTGTCTGTCCCACTAGATTGTAAGCTCTGTGAGAGCAAGGGGTATGTCTGGCTTTCATTCTCAGCGTCGTATGCCCAGGTGCCGGCACGGTGCTTTACTACGCAGAGTTCAATAAATATTTTTGGAATGCAATGAGTTAGTAAACGAACAGCGATAAGACATTATACTAATTACTAGTTATGTTTTTGTCCCGTTTTCACTTGAATTTTATAACTTTGAGAACAGATTTGACATTAAAAATTAAAATTGAGACTTCCACTACTTACCAAGATGGAATAACAAGAATCGGATTTACTTTCCGACCTGAAACAATTTTTAAAATGGGCAAAATATATGAAACAACAGTATTGAAGACACTGAACACCTAGCAGTGAAGGACAGTGAACGCTGAGATGGAAAATGCACGAGGCGAGCCCCGCGATTGCCCGGCTTACTGCCGTGAGAGCGTGTCCAGGCCACAGCTCAGGCCCAGCTGAGACGGAACCGAGAGTCCAGGAAGAGTTTGAGGGCAGAGTGATGGAGACGAGAATGAGAGAAAGAGAGGAGAAGGCCAGAGATCCGCAGGGGGCGCCCCTCGGGCATTCAGTTAAACATTCATAGGCGCACAGGTGAGGGAACTGCTCAGTAGAGTTAAGATGTTATTTCTCTGCAAATCGTTCTGTAGTTAAACACAGGCCTAATCCCAGCAGCCCTTTTTTTTTTTCCTCCTTCCTAGAAATTGACAACCTGGGTCTAAAATTCATACAGAAACGTAGAGGACCTAGAATAGCCAAATTACCTTTGAAAAAAGTAGGCCAAAGTTGATTTCAGGGCTTACAAAGTATGATAATTAAGACACTGTGATGGTGTTCCTATCAAGACAGACCAATCGTCAATGAAATAGAAACCACACAGATATAGGCAACTAATTTTTTTTTTTTTAATGAAATTGCAAAGTTAATTTGGTGAGAAAAGATAGTCTTTTCAACAAATGATGCTGGAACCTTTGGCTATCATATAGGGGGAAATAATGATATCTATATCATTATATCATTCTATATATATTTTGCAACATATAGAAAAATTAACTAAAAAATAGATCATAGGCCTGAATGTAAAACCTAAAACTTGAAAATTTCTGGAAGAAAACAAAATCTTTGTGACCTTGACTTAGGTAAAGATTTCTTAGATACAACACAAAAAGGGCAATCTATAAAAGCAAGCATCGATAAATTGTACTTCATCAAAATTTCACTCCTCGAAAGAAATTGTCAAGAAAATGGAAAGACAAGACACAGGCTGAGATAAAATTATAAATCATACCTGATAAAGAACTGGTATCTGGAATTTATAAAGAACTCTCAAAACTCAAGGGATAAAAAAACCTCTATTTTTAAAAATGGGCAAAAAATTTGATCACCAGAGAAGATCTATGGGTGGCAAACAGTCACAAGAAAAGATAACCAACATCATTAAGTCTTTAGGGAAATGCAAATTAAACCACAATAAGATACCACTATATACTCACTGGAATAGCTAAAAGTAGAGAGATTGACATCGGGTTCTCCAGAGAAGCAGAACTAATATATGTATATATATACACACATACATGGAATCGGCTCACAGGATGATGGAGGCTGAGAAATCCCACCATCTGCCATCTGCAAGCTGGAGACCCAGGGAAGCCAGTGGATCCAAAGGCCTGAGAGCGAGAGGAGCCACTGGTGTAAATCTCAGTCCTGGGACAGAAGATGCTTCCGAGTTAAACAGGAAGAGACTGAATCCTCCCTTCCTCTGTTCTTTTATTTTCTGTTCAAGCCCTAAAGGGATTGGATGGTGCCCGCCCACATTGGGGAGGAGATTCAAATGCTAATCTCGTGAGAAAACACTCTCATAGACATGCCCAGAAATGCTGTTTAATTTTGGCAATCTGTGGCCCAGGCATGTGACACTTAAAAGTTAATCATCACAACTTTATCCTTTGTCAACTTCACAGCTCTACGCATCTCCTTAAACTATACTTAATCTCCAAATAAAGATAACAAGCTCATAATTCCACCTGGCGGAGAACATGGTAAAACCAGTAAATTCCAGAAGCACGGTCCCATTCCTCCACGTCACTTGCTGTGAACTGAGGTCTTTGATCAGAAGCAATGATGTATGGAATACCAAGATGGTGGATAAGGCATTCTGTAAATCCACAGATGGTAATTTTGGCAGAAGCATTGCATGCGGGGAAAGCAAATCCAGTATAAATCCACAGTAAGCATCTGTTGTAGTTAGAATGAAACACTGCTCTTTCCAATGTACTCCGTCTACCACCAGGTAGCTGGCTGATCACCCTGGAGATGGGCGCCATATGGGTTGCTCGGTGTTGGTCTTTGTTGCTGGGAGATTGAGCACTCAGCAGTGGCTAGAGCCAGGTCAGCCTTGATGAGTTAGAAGTCCATGTGTAACCTCCCCTCCCATCACCATGAGCCCACTAGGTGGTGACGGGGTTGACTAGAGAAAGAAGCCGACTGGTGTCCACAGAACGGCTCATTCTGTCCACTTGGTTATTAAAGTCCTCTTCTGCTGAGCTTACCCTTTGACGAACATTCACATGGGGCACGAGTATCTTCACATCATTTTTCTGCCTATTCAGAGAGGTCCATCCACATACCTCTCCCTCAGATATCTTTGTCAATCAGACCTCCTTGTCACCAGTTGTTTCAATCATATTCCTTCCTAGTCTGTCAAACATTGGCCACTGCCCATTAATTGGTATAAAATCACACATCTGGCCACATAAACAGCCAGGTGCACTGCTCAAAGTTCTGCCCACTGGAAAGATTGCCCTTCACTACTGTTTTTCAAAGATGTCCCAGAAAGGAGCTATAGTGCTATAGCTAGCTGTCCACTGCCAGGTGGTACCCGCATTATCATACAGCACCATCTGTAAACCCGTCCTGAACCTTCTCATCTGTCAGCTGTCATAGGGAACTGCCCCTGAGGTCAGAGATGCAGGCTGGGGGAGAGAGGGCAGTGTAGCAGGAGTGGAGACCATGGACATTCGGGCTACTTTTTCATGTAATTGATTTGTGCCTTCAGGGCCTGCTGAGGCCCAATCATGCATACCACTTCCCTTTGATGATGGGATGTTGCTGTGCACCCCCAACTTTATGGTTTCCTGCAACAGATAACACCCAATTTATGATGGGCGTTTCAGACTGTATATAACTTGGGGGCCCATAGTTAAGTGGTCACTAGCTGTTTCTCAAAAGGAGTGTCATTATCTGCGGAAGATGACAGGGTTTTGCTCCGAAATTCTAGGGACCTGTGCTGCAGTTCACTTATCAGGGCCTGCCAAAGGCTCTAAACAGCATCCCTATCTGCTCCTGTCACCTCAGGCACCATTGAATCTGCTGGATCATATGGCCCAAGTGGCAGAGCAGCTTGAACAGCAGCCTGAACCTGATGCAGATCCTCCTCTTGTTCTGGGCCCCACTTACCAGCACCTTTTGGGTCACTTGGTAAATGGGCTGGAGTAACGCACCCAAATGAGAAATATGTTGCCTCCAAAATCCAAAGAGGCCCACTGGGCATTGTGCCTATTTTTTGGTTGTAGGAAGGGTCAGATGCAACAATTTACCCTTCACCTTAGAAGAGATATCTTGACATTGTCCCACATCAGTGGACCCCTAGAAATCACTAAGAAAGAAGGCCCCTAAGTTTTAGTCAGATTTATTTTCCACCCTTGGACACACAGATGTCTTACCAATAAGTCTAGAGTATTTGCTCACTAGGTCCAATCAGCAT